TAAAATTAAATTTGTGCCTAAATAGACCTCCGGTGTGAGAATTAGAACTTCTCTTCCTAATTCTTCTGTTTTCATGACCATTCCTTTCAAAATTATGCTGGAATTTATTTTAGACATTTGTAACTTATAGAAAATTATGAACGAGCCAAATATTTAGACTACATTTGATGTTTTCTTTCCTAAATATATTTTTAAAAAATCTTTGCTGAAAAATACATCACTCCATTTGTTTCCCTGATGTATATAGGTGTTATGATAAATTTTGATCCCTATTTGATGATTAAAATTTAGAAAATCTAAATATATATAAAATAATTTCAAAATGAAAAATGTAGATATAAATGTATTTAAGTATTTCAAAGTAAATAATAAAAATAAAAGAACTATGAAGGTTTCCTACAATAAAGGATGGTAACTACAGTGGAGAGAGCTATGCTCAATTCAAAGACATTGAAATTCAACTATTTATCAACATAGCACACCCATTAAAGCAATTATGCTGGCTAGAGTCCTTGGCCATCAGGTTAAACGGAACAATCACTTCCTGTTCAAAAGAGGTGGCAACAATCAAATGAGAGGTATTATCTTATTTAAACAAAATATTTCAATTAGGTTTATCCTAGGAGAATTTTAAGAAAACTGGAGTTACCCTTTTAGCTTAGACCTTGAAAACATGTGAAGAACAGGAAACTAAACCCAAATGACCCCTACTAACATATACTAATTCTCCTCGCAGGGCAATCCTTGTAAAGAAGAAACATTACCTGAAGCCAATGATACTGAAAACCAGAACTTAAGATCTTCCATACAATTTACCCATTTAATTTGACCTCAAAAAAATACCTTCTGATCAGTATGTGGTTCCCTTTCTATCTCTGTCTACAACATGGTTTTTCAGCCTTGAAGGTGCCAACATTCTTGGGTGGACAGTGTGTGTTGTGACATGCTGTCCTGTGCATTGTAGGATGCTTCTCCCTGAACTCTACTTCTTAGGCTCTCTTAGCAAGTCTTTTGCCATCAGTCATGACAATCAAGACTACCTGCAGAACTGAAAAATATCTCGTAGGGACAAAACTAGTCCCTATTGAGAATCACTGGCCTAAGAAAAACAAATAAATAAACTGTACTGTCAAGAACACAAGGACACTCATGAGTATAATCAGTGTGAGTTTCACTACTGACCTTATTCGATATCGGGGAACACACATATAGGCTAGGGACAGACACTGTAAAAAATAACAAAGTTTCTATGATCATAGCATGTGAGGTCACATGCTAATCAGAATTTTTTGATAACCTTTCTTCATCTCAAATTTTAAAAGATTACCTTTCTTCATCTCAACTTTTAAATTTTGAGTTCTTTTATATAGCCATACTGTGTTTATGATGCTGTGTGTCTTACCTTCCCCTAAAAGGCAACTATTTCCTGAGACCCAAATCAAATGATGTTTCCCATGTCATGGCGGTATAAAGAGTTGTGTCTCTCAGTCCCACATACACAATGGCACAGCAAATGAAAGAGCAGATGAACCCAAACCAGGATGGCATGCAAAATACCTGATGCTATCAATATGTGAGAAATCAAAACATATTCCTTGGTTCTATTGGAAGTTCATATCTTATAATGGCTTACAGAGAGTTCAATAAAATGTGATAGTGAAAATTTCCTTTGGAGTCACTCTGCTGCCATATATGAATTTCTTGACTCTGTTTTAGGCTATTTTTTTAAAGAATGTATTTTAACACAAATTTTCTGAGATTCGAGATTGCAGTCAATTGTTGTTTTCCGTATTAGTGAATGAGGTTTAAAAAATTAATGTTAATATTTAAGTACATGAGGTTTAGGCATATTTTTCCAACCCATTTCTAATTTCAAAAATCGATTTTATAGAACCATGTATGACTGCTGCTGGTTTTTGCCAAGACCTCTGGTGATATTCAAATTATTGATTGCAGAAGGAATACAGCTAATACGTATAAAACATTTTTCCTCCTTATGACATTGTGCATGTGCTTTTGTCTGAAATAGTTCTGGCTTTAAGAGATAACATTTCCAAACACTTTAAAATTATTAAGAATGGTTTGGGAGCTAAATTACTTCTTTCCCATTCTTCAAGTCAAAGAGTTATATGCTTTTCAATTCCCTCCTTCATTAGAAATTTGCCTAGCTTCAATCCAAAAGAATGCCTTAAATATCATTAATTCCTAAAAATTACTTATTTTTATTTCATTTTAGACACTTATACCTAATAGTATCCCTACCCATAGAGTCTGTTAACCATATTTACATGGCCGAAAACATCCATTAATCATGTTAAAAATGTGTTTAAGTTGGGAAATGACAATGTGATATCAGATTATATTGTTTTAAAAAAATGGGCAGTTATGTTTTGGTATATATGTCATATTAAACATTAAGCTATTCTGTTATCATGTTTATCAATAATGCTTTTCAATTGACTTGATATACTTTTATTCTAAAATTTTATAGCAATCTAATCCAATTAAGCATGATGGCAATTAAAATATCGATAATAGAAGAAAGATCTGCAATATGAATAAACATTTATCTTCCGATAATAGATTTCTTTTCAACAGATAGCTTAGGAGAAAGAGTAAATGCAGACATTAGCCTCAAATGAACTTTAAAAACACAATTGTATGTAACAATATAACTTGGAGTTGGAGTTGGTATAAAGTGATTAAACATATTTGCCTGAAATAATTTAGAATCAGGGTAATTTGTATTTTTGATCTCTCATTTAGGTTAGCTGGTGGAAAATATATCACCCTTCACTCCCCTAACCCTTCTGACTCCAATCCCTGAACTACTTGCTGACATTCCTATGACTTATAAATGGCTTAATTATCTGCATTGTGACATAAATGTCTTTAGGGAGCTTATGAATCTTAGGATATCAGTAAATGAGAATATTTGCTAAATGTGAATATGGTAATTAAGAGTCATAGGCAACACAGAGGAGAATAGAAATAGACCTGGAAATAAATTTTAAAAGATTCAACACATACCCATAAAGATAAAAGAGCATTAATTAGCACATAAAGGAAACTATAATGAGATAGGATGGGGGTGGTAGGTAGCACCAATGAAAGCATTTGGATAATGGAATAATAACATGAAAGCTTTGCTTTTGTTTCTTTTTTTGATATCATGGAGGCTAAAAGGGCTATGAATACATGCTAAATAGAAACAAACAAACATCATTAGTGATCAGAGGAAAAACCTCATTAACTGTGTAAGGAGTTATGAGTAAGACCAGCCACATAAAAGAATATTCAAATATGGATGAGTTTCTACATTGCTTGACTGCTTGACTATGGAGGCCTAGAATCTCCATTAAAAATGTTACCTAATGATACAGGAATGTATTTAATTATTGTTCTCCAATTCTATGGAAAAGAATTCACATTGACTTTACCAAGGTTATCACTAACATACTCTCTCACTACCAACTCTTACTTTCTTCTTCCTGTCTGATTTTCCCATGGAACTTTTGATGGTAGCATATCTTAATGATTTCCTGCTCTCATTTCTAGCAATATTGAAGACCATCCAATGAAGGTGTACTAGATACCACTGTATGCTGTGTATTACATTTTTTTTCTTAAATGTTAGTATTATCTCCTCAAAGTAACCCATACTCTACAAAAGTGAGCAATCTTCTTTATATAGTTTTGGTATCCCACAAGTACTAAAAAGGGTTGCATACTCAATGCTTAGTCCTTGAACACCTATAAATCAACTTAGTTTAATACAAAATGTGATTAATTTCAGCTAATAATGTCCTAATTGTTAATATACATCTGTTGATTGGTTAAATTTGGCCCAATAGGTATATATAAATACTTTATGATTTACATTACAATTTTTTCTTAATATTTGAAAGCACTGAATAGAGAAGGTTCCTTGTCCATCTCTTCCATTTCTCTATCCTATGATAAATATAAAGATTAAATCTCTATCCCAAATATACAAGTGGGAATGCATGTTTAAACGTAGCCAGTGATGTTTATTTTTTTCCTTTATTATGGAAAAGCTTTTCTTAGCCTTGCACTGTTTTTTAATCTGTATTTTATGAGCTCATTTATAGGCGGTATATTTAACCTTTTATTACAGAATAATGAATAAATAACTGCTTATTTTTCAGCATTGTTTGTAATTAGATTTTGCAGTATTTGCAATAGTTCATTCATGATAACTTCCTCAACTGGTAATCGTAGATAAGTCTCTTAACCTTAAGGGAACTAGATTTATCAGAAAGACAAAGGATATATGCTTTTATGAGAACAAAATAAATACATTCAGTCATTTGAGCATTGTTACCTAAGCACTGATTAAGGAGAGTGAAAGTGGCCCCTGAGATAATCCTAAATTCTAAACTTAAAACACAGCAACACTGGGGCTGGGATTGTGGCTCAGCAGTAGAGCATTTGCCTAGCATGGGCTGGAACCCGGGACCCTTTGATCCTCAGCACCACATAAAAATTAAGGCATTGTGCTGTGTCCTCTACATCTAAAAAGTAAATATTAAAAAAAAACACAGCAACTCTATCCAAAGGTCAACTTTAGAAACCCTTCTTGTTACCTGATCCAGAATTACAAAGTAGTCAGGAAAAACAAAAAGTAAAGGGGACAAAATAAGTTAATAATTACTTGGGCACGGTTAACCATTCTTTTTAAAATCTCAGCATCTGTATGGCCAATCTAGAAAATATAAAAAAAAGTATTCACTCTGAGCAAATATTATTCCTATGAGTAGATGCTGAGTAAAAAGGGTAAATGAGGAGAAAAATGAAGCATATGGTAACAGGGGCATTTTATATTAATAGATTTCCTTATTCTAATGATATTCCAGCCTGACCTTTCCACCTGAAATGCATTGCAAGTGCTGGAGGTGAAGAATAGAAAGTTAAATGCATCGAGAGAGCAATTTAAACAATACTGAAATGCATTAAGAAATTAATTATTCATTACTTACAAAAGTTGTGTTTTCCAATAATAATGTGGTAGCATTTGTTTCTATATTCAGTTTAATGACATGTCCATTCTCGCTTTTATACACCACATCTGTATCTGCAACAACAAAGACATTAACAATTGACAAATACATTGACTAGGTAATACAATAACTGTAGGGGAGAAAATGTGCATAATAAACAGACACATTAGAACAATCATTGTTAGCTTTCAATAACCCAAGCAGATTTCTGTACTTGGCTCGAATAAATTCTCCTGAAAGATGAGGAAGCCTGCTTAACACATGGTCTATTGCACAATGAACACAGGGTTAGTGAGAAGGCCACTCAGTCTCATGATTCAACAAAATGAAAATTAATTAAAATATGGGCAATCTGGTGTCCATTCCGAGATGAGAGACAGTGAGGAGTCTCTGGTTTCCAAAGTAAGCCTTTACCAAAGAGTGAGGTGCTCAAATTTACAAGGGCTCCCTGGTACTGTAACTGCATACAATGCTAAGAGAAGTCAGACTGAAGCACCCTCCAGCAGCCCTGACCACATTCTTGGCACTTCTACCACCGCTCAATCCCTCCTTAACCTCTTCCTCTCTGGGCTAGAGAATTTTCCTCTGGTATTTTATGAGCTTTATATGATCACAGACCAAAATTTTTATGGCTGCTACTTTACCATCAAATACACTTTGTCAACGTCAGGAGAAAGATCTCATTTTAAATGACTGCATTGCTTTTGGATGGCTAATTTATATCTGCTGAGTTAGATTTCATCACATTTGAAATGAAATCTTGTTAAGAATACCTCAGACCAAAAGAATCAACTTGAAGAGAAACTTATAGGATAAAAGGACACTTAGGAGTTAAAAAAAAAAAAACAGATTTGTGGCCAGGCATGGTGGCACATATGACTCAGGAGTATCTCAAATTCAAGGCTACCCTCAAGAATTTAGCAAGATCATTTCTCAAAATAAAAAATAAGAAGGGCTGGACTGTAGCTCAGTGAGAAAGTACACTACCAGAAAATAGTAATAATAATAATAAGAAGAAGAAGAACAATAACAATAAGAACAGTATATATCTACAAAATACACATAAATATATATACACATAGTTGATTATATTTGTGCACATATACTTAAATGTATTTGTATGCAAGTATCCATATACATATGTGTGTACAAAGTAAGTGTGTGCCTAGAATTAAAGGGAAGATATGCAAATAAACGTAATCTTGAATACTTTCTTCTCCTTTCTTAAAATGATATTCTCTTTTCCAGTTTAACCAAATTCAGTGGTTTTATAGGCACCACTCTAACTTCCTATTATTGCAAGAAAGGCAAACTTAATGGAGGATGCTTCTATTATTTACACTAAGTGAATTTATACAAATTACAATCTCTCAAAATTTGGAAGTTTTCACCAGTGTCCTGGGAAACAGGTAGTGCACTGCACGGTGAGCTATGGAGATTAACTGCAAGAACATATGTTCTGACAATTTGGCAGAAAGATGTTTTTCTGACTTTTCTCTAATTATTTCAATAATAAAAATAGTAACACCTAGAATTAAGAGGATGAAAAGTGATCAATACTAAAAAGAAAAATGGTACTTTACTCAGATTTTCATTACAAAAGACTGAAAGCTCAGTATCAATTCATAGTATTTAAAGATGTCACAGAAGTAGATAGTTATTCTTGACACATATATTAGAACCCTGAACTGAGGAACAGAAAAATACAAATCAAATTTTTTAAAGGGAGAAAAGAGACCAAGAAGGGATGTTCCAGTTACTTTCTGAGGTACTGACTATAGATTGAGATTGTATGACCTTTGAAATAAGTCATGCTATCACCTTCTGAATTTCTGTCATCAGCTGCCAATCAATTGGATTCCTCTTGTCATTAATTTTAACTCTTTAATAACAGGGTCACACAAAGAGAAAATATTTATTTTGATTTATTTCTTTCTATCTCATTTATGAAGTCACCTGGTGTTATCTTTGCTATCTCTCAGCATTTACTCTCGTTCACCTATGAATTTATGTTTGTTCTGAATTTAATGTTTGTTCAATCTCAAATTTAAGTTGTAACACTCATGTCTTCTTGTACTTATATTTCTCTCTCTCACACACACACACACACACACACACACACACATACATTGGACCACATTTTTATTTTGCTGAACACATCGTTTTAGATTAGCAAGAATTTAATAGTATTCTCTGAAAAATATTCCTTATAATATTTTCTCACTTAATTAAGAGAAAAAAGGCTTTTGTTTCAGTTTGGAGATAAATACAGCTTAAAAACACTCAATCATGGAGCTGGAGTTGTAGCTCAGTGGCAGAGCACTTGCCTAGCCTGTGTAAGACACTGGTCAATCCTCAGTGCCATATAAAAATAAATAAATAAAGATATTGTGTCCATTTATAACCAAAAAAAATTTTAAAAAAATAATCAGTGATTCTTTTTTAAAAGGCAAACATCCTGAAGAATTCTAATAGAATATGGTCTTCAACCTTGGAGAGAAAAAAGAGGTGTAAGTAAAGTTTTAGTATAAACAATGGCCCCTGGTCAATGGAAGAGAAAAAGCAACTTACAGCCTCAAAGTCTGTCATAGTAAGAGAAAAGATTAAATAAGTGATGATTTGGTATTAAAGGTGGAGGACAGAGGAGAGATTCATTATGTTACTCAAGACCAAGTGGAAGGAAGCAAAGCTTTTATTAGAAGGTAAAGACTACAGTTCATATTGCTTTTTTCCTGTAAGTCAATTTTTTGGATAGTGATTTGCATTTAAGAAAAAAATCTATGGAGATTTAAGTTTTGTAAATACCTTCAGATCAACACTCCTAAAAATTTTACCATTAGACTCAATGTTGTATTAGCAGGAGAAACTTTTCTTAAATTCAGGTGTAATTCTTTAGCATAATATTGAATAAAGGTTTTTCATGAATTATTTCAAAAGCATTTAATATCTGGCTTTATTAATTCTCTTTAATTTTTAAACATTCTTTGTGATCTAGACTTCTGTATCTCATATTTATCTTACATTCTGCTTGATTTATAATCAATAGTGGAAATCTTAGTTCAGAAACTCCTGTTACTAGATTAATAAGTAACATTCTTGAAATACAATTCTGAACTGTTTACCTCGTATTTTGTTTAATATTAGATGATGTGGTGTTAGTGACTCAGATCAACAAGTAAAGCATTAACATAGGAATATTAAAGTAGGTGTACTTGAAGCATCCTTAAAATACAGCATATGCATGTCTCTATAGTACTTTGATTAAATAATCTTCCCATCATTTTAGCTCTTTGAAAATTAAGAGCCAGTTATCCTGAGCACACAGTCAATGCTGTAGTTCATGAAAAGGTTTGACGGGATTGAATTACTATGCAGCCTACCTACCCTCAGATCCAAGCATGCATTTTCAGTTTGCAGCACTGCTAAACAACAACTACTGTTATTACGGTTCAACTCTCCCCCGCAACCACCACACAATTCGACTAAGAAAATTAAAACCACACTAATTTATCTTAGTTTAAGATCTTTCAGGTAAATGCAGCTTTATATTTTATATTCTTGCTCACAAAACTGATCATAAAGCATTTAACATTATAGTTAATTCTTAATGAACCTTGAAAGAACTGAGACCTCTGCACCAACCTTCACTACCAGGACTAAGAACTAAGGCAACCTATATCCATATTATCTCTTCTTTTCTCTAGGAAATCTTTGTCCATAATGTGAAGACTACACAAGAACAAAATGATGTTTTAAACTTGCTGAACATCAGTTTCTCAAGTTTATGGACTAGCTTCTAAAATTGGGCAAATGGCTTATCATCAAACAACTAACTAAATTACAATACAGTGAAAGGTGCCCAGCCACAACTGGACCCTCACTTTGAAAGAACAGTCTTAGTTACTCAGACTCAGATCTCCAAACCTGTACGTATCTTCTTATCCCCTCCATCTGGACACCTTAAGACTCTTGAAATGTCTTTCCTGACAGCAACAGGTAATAAACATCACTTGCTAACAGTTTATTCTTGGTGGCTGTTCAGAAGTAGACAGTTGACAAAATTCCTTCCTCATGTATATCAATATAAAGTCACCTTTTTGGTTTTGATTGGTGTTATTATTGATAATGTAAATGTACATTCAATTTTGACATAATTTGCTTTAAATATTGCAAAATTAAATCTACCTATTTATAAAGAGTTCAAATAGTGTAAAGGATGTTTGTAAAATAAGTTCTTTGAGATAATTTAATTCAAACATATGTTCATTTTCAATGATCTACTTATTTTTCTAAAATTATATTTTTATTGTATCCCATAATTTTCAAAAAATACATAATCAATAAACTGAGAAATCTAAAATTGAATCTTTTGTAGAACATATTATTGAAGTGATTTTTCACATGAAATGTGCAAATAATTTTAGAAGAGAATTGTTAAATATTGAGTTAAGATTTTATTCCTTAATTAAACATATTCATGGTTAATCAAGAAAATTGAGCTCGTAATTGAAATCAGGCAGGCCCCTCAATCAATTCTCCTAGAACACTGCTCACAACAATCAAATATTTTCCTCATTCTTTTTTTTTAACCTTACAAAGGTTTATTTTATAAATTTAAAATGAGAGAAACATGACTTTTCAAGGGGGATTTATTAAAATATGGGACAATTTTATCATCTCTCAGAGACAAAAGGCAAGAACAGAAAAAGAGTTTGCCATTGTTAAGTAGTGATTGGAGAAATTTGATGGAGCCCATGGAAAGGTTTGAGGTCAATGACATAGATGAACAGATTGATTTTAAACAATAAAACAGGTGATTCATTCTCCCCAATTGGACTATAGTCATATTTGTCAAGTTTTGGTAGAAATTAAAAGCCAATCAAACATTGACTATCTAATTTTTTTTTCCAAAACTATTTTCTTTGAAGAGGATAGAGGAAAAGACTTGATAGCTGGACAGCTGGGACTCAAAAATCTTTGAATTTACTTAAGCAATTTTCTTTCCTATTCCTCCAAAATCATTTCAAAACTTTCCTCACTTTTTAAAGAGCCCCAGACCACCAGAAATGGTGTC